GTGGGCTTGCTTCCTATGTAATAGTAATAATTTGGGAGGAAATTAATACAGTTTGAAAATTATTAAGTCATGTAATTCATTAAGACCATGATGTCATTGGCGGTTGTGAGCCATTTAATGATCAGGATTTTGTTGTGTCTTTAGGCAAAGAAAAGTGCTTCAGATCATATTCCTAGCCCAATACCTAGACAGCCACTAATGGAGTCTGTTCAAATTATGTTCCTTGATAGTATTCCATGAGAGACTAAGGGGAAAAAAAGGGGGGGGAAGGAAAGTTCAACCAATTTTCTGTTGCTAGACTATTGTATCTTGATCAGATTCTGTGACCTGAAAAAAAAAGATTGGGGCTAGTTCACTCTGGTGCCTAGATGAGGCGGTTCTGTTACCTGCTTCTTTTCTAGACATTCTTCTCTCAAGTTTTCTCTCTCCTTGTCTCCTTCAGGGAGGAAATGTGTTTGCTGCCTTGAACCAGGAGCAGAGTGAAGAGGAGGAGGAGGAAGAAGAAGAAGAGGAAGAAAAAGAAGAAAAAATATCAAAGCCCATCAAACCTGACAGGAATAAGAGCAACAAGGTGAGCTGCATTCGGGAATAATCTTATCGGGAGTGATCTGACGGTTAAGTTTCCAGATTCGGGGTGGGCAGCCTTATTTCATGTGGCCTTTAGCTGAATTGTAAAAATATTGGAAGCAGTCCTGTCTGCCTCACCCTGCTATGTGAGGAAAGGGTCAGAAAAAGAAAAGAGTGGGTCAAAAAATTAACAATTACCTGGCGGAAAATACCATGGAGAGGAGAGGCAGCTCCATCTGCGATTGCTATGCCGTAGTCCTAGGCCAGGGGTAGGCAACCTTGGCTGTTTTATGACTCGTGGACTTCAACTCCCAGAATTCCTGAGCCAGCCATGCTGAGGGGAAAGGGAGAGGTTTCCAAGCTGAGCCATGCTGGCTCAGGAATTCTGGGAGTTGAAGTCCACGAGTCATAAAAGAGCCAAGGTTGCTTACCCCTATCCTAGGAGTTACTCTTGAGGTGATGCAGGCTTCAATAGTACATGTTGTTCTCCCCCCCCCTCCCCAATGGGGACACTTGAAAGGAATAAGAACAACCAGGTATAATGGGTGGGGTGGGTCATGCCACATGGCACAGAAAAAATATTAGTATGCTTGCTGATTTTGAAGAATTCTGGATGTAGCCTGGACTCGGTTTGAAGTTTGAATAGCATAGTTCACAAAGCTTAACAGGGTCAGTAAGAGTTCTGCATGCTTTCTGGCTTTAGTCCGATAGAGTGGAAGGAAGGGATAATTTTAACTCAAAATTTTGCCAGAGCAGTTACAAATCAGGCTACCTTCCCTGGTTAACCAGCCTTGTTAAAATCCCAAATCCATCATCAACTGTAGCAATGAAGTGGAGATGCAGATTAGCAGGAACTGCATGTTGTTCTATTCCATCCAGCAATGCAGAAGACACAACATTGATTGGCTGCATTATGCAAGCCCCAGCACTGCGCTCTACCTGGCCAAATAGCAAAGAGGCCATTGATGTAATGGATCCCATGCTAGATTGGAAGGAGGCAGGGGGGGCTTTATTCCCCCAAATGGTGGTCTTTGGCCCTTATTAGTAGGATTGTATGTTGCCAGATCTAACAGTAAATGGGAGTGGTCTGTGAGCCCAGCTGATAACGCAACCCACGTTTCCATTGTTTTTCTTGTTTCAAAGCTAGCTGTAATGCCTACGTGTAGCTTTTTTTAATGCTTGGGAAAAGTGGGAAGGCTGAGGGCTACAGTGAGTGATCAGAGTTTCCTCCTGCTGATGAGGGCTCCTTTGAGCACAGCAGGAATAAACAGGAAGTCCTCAGCTTACAACCATTGGTTTAGTGACTATTCTAAGTTACAACAGCACTGAAAAAAGTGATATGACCATTTTTCAAATGACTGTTGCAGCAAACCCATGGTCACATCATCGAAATTCGGACACTTAGTGCAGGGGTCTTCAAACTTGGCCCTTTTATGACTTGTGGACTTCAACTCCCAGAATTCCTCAGCCAGCATTGCTGGCTGAGGAATTCTGGGAGTTGAAGTCCACAAGTCATAAAAGGGCCAAGTTTGAAGACCCCTGACTTAGTGGCTCATATTTATGATGGTTGCAATGTCTCAGGATCATGTGATCCCCTTTTGTGATCTTCTGACAAGAAAAGTCTCTGAGGAAGCCAGATTCACTTAACAACAGGGTTAGTAACTTAACAGCCGTAGTGATTCACTTAACAATTGTGGCAAAAAAAAAATTCATAAAATGGGACAAAACTCACTTAAACCTCAACCACAGAAATTATCGTTAAGTCGAGAACGCTGTTTAATTTTGTCACCAGTCTGGGGTTTTCTTTGGTCTCGTCTGTTTCTTGAAAGCATTTACTTTAAAGTCTCATTTTATGAAAAGGACAGAACGGTTGTCAGTGGAGCTGGGGTGTGTTTTTCCAAATTCCTAGGCAGTGATAATAAAAGTTTGATTGGCCCTGGCTCTTTCCCAACAATCAAAATAAATTCTGTTTCCTAATAGAAGGCATTGCAGATATCTAGGTATCCTGATGGTCAGATTCCTCATGGGTTTTTTCTCCCAATCTTGGAAGTTTTGCCTTCCAGATATTTTTGCTGAGCGTACAGGAAATTGTAGCGCAAATGTCAGAGAGATGACTTTCTGGAATTTTCTTAAGTAAAACCAGTACAGAAATAATCAGAATCCAACTTCATTTCTCTAGGCAGCCTCTGATGATGAAGAAACAAAGAAACCAGGAAAAAAAGGCTCTAAAACCAAACAAAAGGTCAGTCTGGACCGTCTGAAGTACAGGTAGTCTCAACTTACAGCCTCGCTTCTGAGGTGAAAGCTTACTGGGATCACAGAAGACAAACAGCATTCAAAAATGCTATTCCAAAGTCCAAATGCTAATACAGGTAGATCGTGACTCGTCACGATTGTTTAATGATCAAAGTTATGATGACACTGAAAAAAAAAATAACCTAGGGCTGGTACTCACACTTATGACCGTTGCAGCATCCCCACCGTCACGTGATCAAAAACGGGACATTTGGCAATCGGCAAATATCTACGATTTTTGCACTGTCATGAGATTGCCATTTGTGACCTTTCCAGGGGGCTTCTGACAAGCAAAGTCAGTGGGGAAAGCTGGATTTGTTTAGTGACTGCATGAGTTGCTTAAAAGCCGTAGTCATAAAATCAGGCCTGGCTTGCTTAACAACTGCCTTACTTAGCAACAGAAATTCAGGTCCCAATCCAGGTCATATAATAATAATAATAATAATGATAAAGTTGGAAGGGATCTTGGAGGTCATCTAGTCCAACCCCCTACTCAGGCAGGAAACCCTATACCATTTCGGACAAATGGCTGTCCAGTCTCTTCTTAAAAATTTCCAGTGTTGGAGCATTCACCGCTTCTGGAGGCAGGTTGTTCCACTGGTTAATTGTTCTAACTGTCAGGAAGTTTCTCCTTAGTGCTAGGTTGCTTCTCTCCTTGATTAGTTTCCATCCGTCGCTTCTTGTCCTGCCTTCAGGCGCTTTGGAGAATAGTTTGACTCCCTCTTCTCTGTGGCAGCCCCTCAGATAGTGGAACACTGCTATCATGTCCCCCCTCGTCCTTCTCTTCGTTAAACTAGACATACCCAATTCCTGCAGTGTCGAGGACTGCCAGTAAACTGAGGCCAGGTAATACTTGGTGCAGAGAATGAGGGCTTGCAAGCATCCTGGTGGATCATTCAATCTTGAGGAAGGGTTCAAGTGAGGATTGAGCTTGGAGTCCTTACACTGCCATAAATGGCATAAGCATGACCTCGCCCAGAATCTAGGAAGCCTTCTCTGGCCATTCCCAGGGGAAGGCAAGCAGTCTGGTGAGATTCCTGTAATATAGGTGACAAACAATAAAGTTTTCAGCCTGAGGCTTTTCACAAGTGCTTCTGCTTACGTCCACCTGACAGGACCTTGCTATGATCGCTGTTATCAAAAAGGCTCAAGCTGTAGTAGACATTGCTCAAAGAGATCTTTAAATGTACAGTAGTGGCCAAAATTGTGGAAACCTTTTGGGAAAAGTGTATTTTTGAGGTTTGATGGCTAATAACACCACTTTTTGGGGGGGAGTAGTACCATAAAATTATACAGTATATCAATGGAAAGATAATTTAATCAAGAATGTAATGCAACAAAGTTTGTTCAATTATCTGTACTGTGTTCTATGAAAAGTTATAGCCAAATAACCAGAAAAAGGAAGCACAACTTGCTTAGGTTGATATCAGGTAGCTTTCCTTCATCTGATTGTAGCCAATGAGCATGAGTGTTTAGAGAGCCAATCAGGCATCATCTTGTTTTGGCAATGAGCCAATCAGATCACATCAGTTATTGATGTCATGTATTGAAGCTGAGAGGAGGATATTTGTCAGTGTGTTATGTGATCGCTAGCAAATTGGTTGGGTTTTTTTGTGTTCTTTCCTTTAGTGAGCTTGTAAAACGTAATAAAATTAAAGTAATGGTGCAAAGAATTGACTGGTTGCCCAGAAAGCGATGTAAAATAGTATTATTAAGTGAACAAGGCTACAGTTATAAAGAAATTAGAAGCAAAATTGGTGGAAACTTAACCTAAGGTAGCATTTCTACTGTACACTTTTCCCAAAAGGTTTCCACAATTTTGGCCACTACTGTATTTAGCCATTAAAGCAGCGGTTCTCAACCTATGGGTCGGGACCCCATTTGGGGTCGATCGACCATTTCACGGGGGTCGCCAAGCAAGGCTGTCCGCCATTTTTTCCCCCTTTTCCGGCAGGTGCCTTACCTCCCTTGGGCTGGGCCAGCTGGTGGTCGGTCTGCTCCGTCTCTGCCGCTTGCCAGCTACGCCTTGGCCGGCACAGGGGGCGGAACCACTCATATGTGGCGCTCCCGGGCAGGGAAAGTCCTCGACTTACGACCTGTTGGGTAGTCCTCGACTTACGACCGGTTTAGTCCTCGACTTACGACCGGTTTAGTCCTCGACTTACGATCGGTTGGGGGGTCGCGGCATTAAAAAGGTTGAGAACCACTGCATTAAAGTGAAACATATAAATGACGTAAGCATGTGGTAGTACTTTAAAGCTAGATCTGTGGCAGCATTTTGTAGCTATATGACAGTGAAGGAAATACATATGGCTTGGTTCCAAAGCACTTCTATTGGTGCTTCATTTTATTCCAAGGAATTTATCTGGACATTGAAAAATGGACCATCACGCAAATCATATATATAGAAATCAAGTCATATATAGAAAAGATTTCTTTTTCTTTGTTCTTGTCTTGGAAGCCCATCATTCTGAAAAGGGGCCTGGCGGGGAAGTCTTAACTCAGAAGTGCCTGCAAGGTGTGATCAAAAATTTGCAGTGGTAGCTGCGATGCTGTGATCAAAACTCTACTTGTGTTTTGGTTTTTTTTGTATGTGCACCATACATGCAGAAAACAAGTGGAGCTTCATTCACAGAACCGTAATCACCATTTTAACTTTTTCTGACCTGTGAATATTCCTCTCACTGGCAAAATGAATAATAATGGAATGTCTGCCTCTCTAACTCAGGAAGAGGAAGAGGATAAGGAAGACACAAAGGGAAAAAGCACGAAGAATGAGAAGAACAAAGGCAAACAACAGGTTTGTGACTTCAGTTGTATCTTTCATACTTGATACGAAATGTTAATGGTCAGTTTTGTAGCTTGGTAAGCTGGGCACATTACCTGATAAGCCTTTTCTAATTAATTTTCAACCACCATATTATCAAGGAGACGGATCAAGTTTGCTAGTTTAAACATAGAATCTTGTGCCATATCAGTTATCGGACGTTGGCGATCATGTTGGCGATCCTGTTTTTATCAGCAGCCGCACAAAAAAGTGCTGCTGAGTTTTGTCCAAACCAGTCCCTTAGATTTTGAAGCCACAATGTTCTTCTTCTGCCTGGACCTCGTTTGCCTTC